GGAACAACTTGAAGGTTAGTAAATGACAGAAATATCATCTTTGGGTGAACTATAACTTTAAATGACTTATAATAGCCATTCCTACATATGATAAGCAGGCAGCAGTCTTCATTCGAAGGCCAGAGGCCCACAGGACCCACTCACAGCAGTAACAGTGTGGCATTAAATTTTACAGGCAGGAAGAGAAGTGCTTTATGGGGTACCACAAATCTGGCCTTTACACTCAATGAAACTCCACACTAAATATCTGCTTTACTCCTTAAGAGCCCTTGACTGTAAATAGTGGCAGTAAATAAAGAAAAGGTGGAGGTAAACAAAACTGGTGTATGTGAATGCAGTGTGTTTATCTGTGAATGTTTTTTTCTCATGTATGTTGAATACACAGATGCATCATATTTGGGTGAATCTCACAAAAACGGTTTCAAGTCAAGAAATTATATTGTGCTTAAAGATGAGGCCTGTTTTAAGATCATTCAAATGTGCAAACAAACAATCAATAAAACACTAACACCCATTAGTATTATAAATCCAGTGTTTGTTTATAGTTCTCATACTTTTCAGTGATGAATGCAGTCCAGACAAAATAGAAACTATGACATAATATTATTGGTAGTAAGTATTGATCCTAAAAATGACTTTGTTTTTATAGCAAAATATATCTTAATATATAGCCCAGACATGTTCTTAAAGGGGTCATAGGATGCTACATGCACTTTTACAAGTTGTTTGAACTGAAATGTGTGTTGGCAGTGTGTGTACACAACCACCCTATAATGATAAAAATCCAGTGGATTACATTGTTTCTGAAGGGAATGCGCCCCGATCTACATAAATGCGTCTATGTTCGTGCGAATCATTCGTGATCCAGCCTCATCTACAGAAGAAGTGAGTATAATGTTTTGTAATGAATATTTGCAAATTGCCGTTCCTAATAATGTGCTAATTAGCAAGTTTCACGATGAATGCGTCTAAAGTAAACAGTCTCTCTGAGAGCAGCTCGGAAGAGAGGGGCGGGGGCAGCAGAGCTCATTTAAAGGGAAATGCTACAAAAACGGCTTGATCTGAAAAGAGCTGTTTTTGACAGGGTAAAAAAAAGTTGTTTTTACACTACCATTGAGAAATATTAACCAAACTATGTTACAGACTTTTCATTAAGACCCTACAGAATCATATCAACTTCTGGAAAATGGGCATCCTATGACCCCTTTAAGGTTTCAAGAGATCAACCCGTTTAAGTAGATGGACAAACAACTTTAAAAAGTGCAATATTCTTAGTATGAAATTCTGTTTAAAATAGATGGAGTATAGCATGTCACACCACAGGATGTCAACTTCCCATATGTATGTGTGTGTGAAACTAGTGTGTCAAAATCTGCCATTCTTGGGTTGTAGTTTGGCCTCATTCTCAGGCCTGTGGTTAGGTGTAGAACATTCTTGACTATAAATGTCGCAGTTGGGGGTCTGTGTAAGACAGGTTCACTTCTCGGGATCAGAGAGGAAGGAGACCCCTGGGGGACTGACTAAAAGGCCACTCGGGAGAGCTCGGGGGCCACTCCTGCTGGCGGATTTATCTCAGTAAATATTTACCCTAGTCCTGCCAGACAGAGTGAGAGAAATACAAGAAGGGGTCTTACTTTGGGGGCTAAAAAAGGCCAGAGATTTCACACTATATTCCAAGCTTCAAACCCAGTACCTATAGTTTGAAGATAAATTATTTAAAATAATCTGCAGTCAATACGGAATATATTTAACTCTTTCAGCCATGAAGATTACTGTAAACTACAATAGTTACTTGTATTTACAACAGTATTTACCATTAGCATCATTAGAAATTATGACTGCTTTCAAAAGGGTTGCCCTTCTCTTCCATTGTTTAATAAAACTTTGCTTGGCTGTGGTGCAAACATGAAAATTTACTGGTCAAAGAAAATGACAGCTTTAGGACCAGGAAGCTTTTGCCAACCAGTTGCATCAACAGTGGACTGAACAAACCTTCTTCATAAAGGAGAAAGTGGGAAGCACCTTCGCACTGGATGATTGTTGAGTATTTAGAATGACCTCAGAGATTTGCCTACACACTCACCATGTGGTTTCGGTTACAACCTTAATTTCTACTCTACATTACTCATAGATGATGTTTAAGGAAAGTTTTTTTTAGCTGAATATAGGTTTTCCCCATTTTATGACATTTGTCCCTTTTGTAAATGTGTTTAATGTGCCTTAATTTGAAAGTTTTTTGCAATTATATTGAAAAAGCTCACTTATTTCAAAGATAATCAAATTATATTTAAACACAGGAAATATGCAATGCAAACTTAGTTCTATCTAAATATCGAGAACCACTGCTTTAATTAAATAATTGTTTTTCTGCATTATCAAGTATCATTTGACACAAAAAAGACTTTGTGTAAATGTTATAATTAATTTGCATCTGTAGAATGTCTAGTTTAATCATAAGTAGCTGGGTTTGGTTCTTATTAATTTACTCTACTTATTTACCAGATCATTTTATTCAAAGCAACCTATAACTAAAGATATAGTGTGGTGACAACAGAGGAACAATATTCTTTGAGGGTTCAGTAAGTGTTGAGAGGGTCAGGGGGTTCTGCAATTTAGATGGTTGCATTTCAAGTGCTCAGGGAAGTGCTGGGTCTTATTGTGAGGGATTCAGCTGCTCGGGTGGAGTGTCGAAGATCATTTCACCAACAAGTGGGTGTGAATGCTTTGGAAAAGTGCCCAGTTGTGATGGTACCACTGGTCTGGATTCTAGATAATTTGAATTAATTGTGCTAGCTGGAAGGTTGCCTAATAAGGCACTGCAGTAGTCCAGTCTTGAAATGGCAATGGGTTTAAACAAGGGGAAAGATCTGATCTTGGTGACATTGAAGAATGCAGATCTGCCTGGCTAGGCAGTCATAGCAATGTAGTGGGTAATGTTAAGCTCTTCATTAAACTCTACCACAATGTTCCTGACTGACTTGGATGTTGCTAGTGTTATTGAGCCCAGATGGACTGTGATATTTCGTGGAATTGCCAGGCTGGCTAAGTTACATTTACTGTGTATATTGAGAAGGGGGCCAAGTATCGAGCCCTGGGGTACCCCTGTCATAAGCTAGTGTAATTTAGACACCCCCCTAGAGCGGTTTCCATCTAATGTACTACAATGTGTTTCCTGCAAATGTGAGCTCATTGTACAAACTTAGGGGAACAACTTTTTTGTGCTGTAAGCGGGGGGTGGGGGGTTGTGTCACACATCTGTACATTACTAAATACACAATTAAAGCGTTAAACATTTATTCTAACAGGTGTATTTATCAGTTGCTTTTCTTAGCTGTATTGAATGACAGATTTTCATTGTCATGTTGAATCAACATATTTTAATTTGTTTTACAAGAGCAGTAAATTAAATTTACTTACATCATAATGTCATAACAGTAATGAATTACAGTATGGTTTCATTAGGGAGGCTTCAGCAGCTTGTTTAAAAAGAAAACAAACAGTGTAACAGCAAGTACGTTCTCAGAAAAGGCAAAAGTGTGGTGTATATGGGATTGGGGGGTAAGTTTGATCGAATGCTATAGAGGTGGCACCTCTTCTAACTGCTCGTCTTGAATGGCATGTCTTGCTACTGTTTTGGTCAGTAAGATCTATGGATGGGCAAAGTGCTGCTCTTTGGGACGGGAACTAAAAAAAAACAGGAAGGGATTGCAGCTGGCCTGAACTGATATCATAGCTTTCTCTCTCCTCTCCCACTCCACCGCACTTAGCAACAAAAAAAAAAAAAAAAAAGTGCACGAGCACACCAGTGGAAAGAATGTGTCAGAGTTTGAATTCAGAGCAAGAGTCAGTGCCAGAGATGACCTTCCCCTTCTGAAAACCCAAACCTACCTGCTGCTGACATGCAGCTAACAGGACACAAGGGTGGGGCGGCACAGATAATTGAAACAAACTGTAAATGTTGTTGACAGTGACTTGTATCGGGCACATTATGTTGCACAGCAAATGTGTTGTGACATTGACAGGATTATCAGGCTTGCATTAAGACAAACTTTGCATTATGGAATTTTAAGGCACCCTATGGTTAAAAGTGCACCAAATACTTTTAAACTGATTGTCAAGAAATGCCTTCTGTATCTGTATGGCTGACTTTCTTACATGTAGCACAAATACAATGTAAGGCTAAAAATATAACCTCAGTCACTATTCATTTTCATTGTATGCAATGAAGGTAAAAAGTGAGGCTGCCATTCTGCAATTTGGGTTCTTTTGTAAAGAGTACTTATTATGGAAATAATATACTTTAAACAAATATACTGCAGTGTACTGTTTTCAGACACGTAATTGCAAGTTAATTTCAATTAAATTAAAATGTATTATAGTTTAAAATGTATATTAAATGCAATTAGCTGAACGTAAGAGTGCTTTTTGACCCACTTAAGTAGGTACAACTTTAGATGTAATTTCATAATGTAATTTTGTCTATTGTCTTTGAACAAAGTGTAAATTAAAATATACTTGTATGTCATGTATTTTCTACTTCATATTTTAATTAAGTTGTCATTTAAATATTTAAAATATTTAACTGTAATATCAAATAACTCAGTTACAGTTAAAATTATAATCAAGTACTTTACCTGTACTTTAGTATGTTAGTCAACGCATCAAAACAAGTGTACTTCTTTAAAGTGCAACAAAAGACTATCAAAACATTATTTAAAACGTACTGTAAAGTCCAATATTTAACTTAATATATACAGTAACATTATTACAAAGTACATGTTTTAAATGTGTATTTATTTTATTATTATATTATATTATCTGCAAGTGCATTTTTTTATATGCCTTTAACATTTGAAGTCAATACAATTAAGCACACTTCTTTTTCACAAGGGATCACTTTAAGACAAATTGACTATGAAAGTATAAAATAAAATAAAAAATAAAAGTGTATGTTATACTGTGACCTAGCAGCCATTAATGTCTCTCTTCTCTGTATATAGCAGATTACAACAGCAGTGATCAGAAGACCGCCTGCAGAAAGCATGAACTGTACGTCAGCTTCAGAGAACTGGGCTGGCAGGTAAAGATGAAGAACATTCGCATAATCGGTATTCCAAATCTCAAACTGGATCAGCCTTCAGTGGTCATTTGGTTATAAAACAAATTATTAATAATTATCCCGAATGAGTGTTTCATCTACTTTAAAATTATTTTTAGTGTGAGCATCCCTTTTGATTTAAATATGTGTTTGTCAGGACTGGATTATTGCACCTGAGGGCTATGCAGCAAACTACTGTGATGGAGAATGCTCTTTTCCCCTAAACGCCCATATGAATGCTACTAATCATGCTATAGTACAGACACTGGTGAGTCCTGCTTTATAAAATAAATACCAGACCTAACAGAAATAGTATTGTTAAAGTTTATTTCACAGTAGTGAGTGTAAAATAATATCTTGCTCCACTTTTCAGGTCCATCTCATGAATCCAGAGAACGTTCCAAAACCATGCTGCGCTCCCACCAAACTGCATGCAATCTCCGTGCTCTACTACGACGACAACTCCAACGTCATTCTGAAAAAATACAAGAACATGGTGGTGCGCGCATGCGGCTGCCACTGACACAAGGGACACGTGTCGCCCTGCCCGACCGCTGCACCGCAGAGACAGGACTGACAAAACGAAATAAAGGCAGATGCGAAAAGCAAGCATTATGAAAACAAATATGAGAGAAAATGTCTCGACGGTAGATCCAAGTTTGCTGCTTCTCATTTTTATACACATGGCCATTTCTCGTGACATTTTGGATCCTACAAACCTCCAAGAGGATGTTCATGTGAATCTATAAACAGAAAATGAACTTGATGCCTTAAGTCTAAAACAAAAGAAAATGTAAATTATGAACTAAAATGCAGTCTGTAATATTTAAAGGGGTCGCATCATAACACTATCACTTCATTTTCTAAGTAAGGTCTACTTGCTTTACAAAACAGTCAAATCAGTTCTTTATGACTTTTTTCCCCACCCACATTCTGATCCTTGGAATTAAATGGGATACTTTTTTTTTTTTTTGCTGTGCCTTTAGGACTAGACTTTGTATCTTTCTAATGTTTGAAAGTTCCAGAAGTTCAGAACAAATCTTTTTTTTTTGCAACTTTCAGGAACTTCCTCCCCAATATAAATAGACAGTTTGAGTTCTGAAAGTTACTGTAGCTTTTTTTATTTCAAAAGAAACTTTGATTCCTCATGATATGACCTCTTTAAGATCGGAAACTTATAAATGACTTATAAATGACTTCTGTGCTGTCCCAAAGCACAGAAATCAGAACAGGAAACTTTCTACTGCTTTGTGTATTTTTGATGAAGTCACTTGAACCCACAGGACTCTATTTTAGGTCTAAAAAAATCGAATTATTTTAAGTTTCTCAATATTTGCTCTGCACTACCTGTGGTTTGCATCTGTGAGTCAGAGCAAGTGGTTACACACTTCAACAGAACTCAAAGAACGGAACCATTATGCTGCCGTTCCAAGGACGGAACTGTAATTTGATGCCGTCCGACACCACAGATCTATAATTTCCCTGCAACACCTGCACCTCGGATGGCTTACATCCAAAACTTCCCATAATACACGAGGACCTACAAATAATTTAATTTGTATTCTGTGCCATCGTACTCACATGGGCTGTAGATTTTCCACCATCTCATGTCTATTTATTGTCAAACATTTTTTTAAATGCAGCTGTCCATCCTTTTTTTTCCACTGTGAGCCATTGAATGGTACAAAACTCTTGCTGGACAGGCAACATAGGTCTATTATCAGCATTGTAGCAATATATTTTGTATTTGCCCTTTGTAATTTGGGAATCGATAATTGCTTCAATTTTTATACCAATACTGAAACCAAATAATTCAGTTACGTTTAGTCACATTTTAATACTGTTTGCATTTCCATTCATCTCACTGGCACAGGACTCCAATAAGCCAACAGGACCATGCCTGCCAGCCAAACCTCGACTGCTTGGTTCACATTGACAGTGGCCACATCACTATGGTATTGGGTTGTACTGTTGGTTGCCAGTAGGCTTATCTGTACTCAAAATCTGCCACAAGAATTGAATTTGAGGGTAGTAAAAAGTATAACAATTTTCCAAATATTGTCAATTTTTTTCCAACTCCTATTCCTAGTTATATCACATACCTCCCATAAACTGCTGTTTACGTCTCAACCGTATTTGGATGCTTGTGTGTAAATACTTGTACATTTTACAGTTTATTTATTGTTCTTTTTATGAATCCTATAGCACAGAGATCCTATAACAAGAGTAAAGGAAAAATTAAAAACTGCTATTTTTGGAAAAAGACATTTTATTATGAAATTTGTCACAACATGCCTTTTTTTTTGTACAAAAACCCCCAGGCAGTGTGTGTACCCCTCTCACACAGGACAAAAATACTGCATTTTTCAGTAAGTTCGGCCTTGACCATGTGCCTCCCATAAAGACTTCACTGAATATATGCGGTTTCTCTGATTGCTTTTCCCTTCCTTCTCTTTCAGATCCAGTAAGAGAGAAAAATAAACATCTCGGTGTGGGAATATTTGAAAGGAAAAATGTAAATTACATTTGTTTAAATCAATGAAACCACTGGAGAGCATCAGAGAACACATACAAGTCTGTCAGCATTCTGAATTTCACCATCACAAAGTGTTTTAAGCAGTTCACTAATAATATTAAAAGTGGTTGATTGCATGTGAAAGCCATCAAGACTGAATTACAGGGGGAAAAAAAGAGTGAGTCTCAAACAGAGAGTCTAAAAGACAAACCTAATCAAAGGAAAAATGACATGGGGAAAAATAAAAAAGCCACATCTGAAGAATAATCCAAGACAAAAAAAAACAAAAACAAACTGTACCATAAACGCTTCAACCTTTCACAGCCTCTACTGTAAGTAAACCATATTTCCATAAACCGTCATTATACAGCAAAAAATTATCTATTTTGCATTGTCTTACTTTGCTGAGTGTTGAGAAATTACAAAAAAGTATTACATAATGGCAATATTGGGGATATGTCTAAATGTATTTACCCCATTCATATGCCTATACGAATATTAAGAAGCTTTATATGACAAATTAACCAAAGATGTTAAACCAGCCTAATGTGGTTTGCTGGCCATCAAACTTGTTAAGACTGGCCTGGTTTGATAATTAAGTACATGGTCAAAGTGCTGTTTGCAAGTGTGTATCATATAGTATTTTACACTGAATGGAGAAAAAAAAACAAAAAAAAACAGAAATCACAGCAGGTGCATGTCATTGTTTTCTTTAAATGGTACATGGTCTCCCTGAGGTCATATTTTCTTAGCTGATAGCAAACTAAGCTGAATTTCCTCAAATATAACTGACAAAATACGCACCTTAAATGATGTAATGATCTTAACAGTGTCATTGTTTAAATCATACTGCTGTTATTTTAATGGAGAAAGGGTAAAATCAAAAGTCTGTGGTTGTAATCGCTAATAATCTCATCAACTGATCAGAGATGAAATCGTGTACATTCACATTTTATCATGTGGAAAAGACTGTGCTCACTTTAGCAGGTGAGGGACAGAAATGAAGAAAAAGCAGTCCATTTGACAGTATGGTAAATGTAGATAGTGTTGCTTTGTGGAGGATGTGTTGCGAGATGGAAAATGAGGGAGGAGTTACAGCTCATCTCTCGCTTGCTTCATAACAAAATTGTGCAAGCTCTCTAAGTCCCGCCCTCCATTATGCTCCTCCCCCTGTTGCCCCGCCCGGAACATCAGGAGAGTTGGGTATCCACGCACCTATAGAAAACAATGACCAAATATTTACATACATTTAAATTGTGTGTAGTAATTAAACACGAAGCCAAGCCAAACTGGATCCTTTCAGAGTAGCTATTTGATTTGGAACAAATTTGGGAAAGAAAAAAAGTATGTTCGATATAGCATGAATGTATGTTGCATAAACAAAATCTGGATGTACTAGATCCACCATGTTGGCTTTGTCATGTGACCTGCTTCAGTTTTGTTATTTACTGCCACTCACAACTCAGGGATAGAAAAGTGTGCATAGGTATACACACTTCAAAATGTCGATGGAAGTAGTTGGTCACATTGAGTCACACCATGCGGAGAGCGCTCCAAATCAGTCTAGTTATGAGGTTCGGTTTGTTTGTTTATAATTGAACGCAATTTCAGCTTCCAAGGTAAAAAGTTGCTAAAATATCAGATCTAAATATTAAAACTAATACAAATAAAAACTGGCACTTTTTATTGTGTATGCACTTAATAAAAAAGAAAAAAAGGACTTCGCTTTATCAAAAGTAAAAAAAAATCATTAATGGAAGGATTTGTAACTATAATCATTAGATGGAATGAAACTGAAACCTATATAGAAACATTTGTTACATTTTCCATTCATAGTAGACAGAAAGGCAGCACACAAGTTTTTGGAACAAGCTTAAAAAATAAATAATTAAAAAAAACGACTCTCTGCCAGTAATATGAAGTTATGTTGACCCCATTGCTCAAACATCCACAATCCACAAGACTTGTTACTCTCGCTGCCACCCATCAGGGAATAAAAATGTGACTCAGATCCAGGCTAAATGAGCTGCACTCACAGAGTATCTGTTGCAGAGCGTTCTCTCCACGGTGCAGTCCACTTTAGCAATCTTCACATCAGTCAGACCAGGAAACTCCTTTTTAGATAGATCCTCCCAGGTAGGGGCCAGGTTTTTGCAGTGACCACACCTTAAATACACGAACACATATTGCGTGAGTCGCTGAACGACAGAGGATAAGCTCAGCCAATCAGGGAATGGCGGGTCTTTTGATTAGCCACTAAGGAAACATTAAGATGATAAGAGGAACAGATAGGGGAGGGGAGTACACTCTGTGCATGCATGTGATATACACTAGGGATGGAACAGTCCAACTTACTCACGGTTCGGTTTGTGTCACGGTTTTAGAGTCACGGTTTCGGTACGGTTCGGTATGTGCTATGTTTAGGCAAAAACTATACTGTCAAATAAAAATAAAGAAAATAAGAATAATCTATCTAACTACAAGCAACAGCACAAATAAATACAATAGAGTAAAGATACAAATAAAATAATTTTCATTTTTTTTTAGGTAGGTCTAACATTAGTTTTCAGGTAGAGAAATTGAATAAAGTAATGAAATGCAAAACAGCATTGCATATTTGACTGTATAAATTAAAGATTAATCTTTATTAAAGTTACAAAAGCTATTCAATCAAGAGCAGTGAGTGATTTCTTTGTTGTTGCTGTTTGATTAATATTAAGAAAGTGCTGTCACTTTAAGAGAATGCACTGATCCAGTGCACTGATACAGTACGTTCAGCCGGCTATGTCTGCTATAGGATACTTACCAAGACGGGCATTTTGAAATAATTTGTGTGAATTTGTCCATTTAAACAATACTTTAAAGAAAGCTTAATATTTGCACGCGTTCTGAGGTGCGGTTTGCACGCTTAGGATGAGCGCACGCACAAATCTTCTCACTGCGCGCGCGAGCTCGAGTCCTCTGGATCTTAAATGTTTAAACTGGCAAAGCTTGTGACTCTGTTGCCCTTTCGGGCTTGAACTGATGATAAAACTAACAAAATTATTAACTGTCTTGATATTTACTTTGAAAGCTGACGCTCGCGATTATGGTAAGGGGCGTTACATTTCCGACGCGTGCTTGTGGTGTTCGGCCAATCATAATGCACTAGGTCAGCTGGCCAATCAGAGCAGACTGCGCTAGTCAAAGGAAGGGGCTTTGTTGAAAACAATGTGTTTGAGAGAGGTGGGGCATAGAGGACCTACAATAATGTACAGTATTTGAAAAATAATGTGTTTTTTGAACATTAAAGCATGTCAACATATTCTGTTACACCAAATACACAAAATAATGATCTTTAAAATAGCATCATATGACCCCTTTAAACACAGATATCAACGTGTGCTGTTCAGGTCTCACCTGTGTGCGCGCGCCATCAGCACCCGGGTGTTAACAGAATAAATGCTCATATTCCAGCATACGGCATTGAACGAGCGAATGGTTCGTCCATGTTTTGGACCTGGTCGCTGTTGTTGTAATGTATTGGGAAGCCAGAATGCGCATCCACCAACAGAAACGTATATTAGCTGAAACCTGTTTGTTTTACGTTTTATTATTTATAGCAAACCATATTACAGATTCGTTGTCAGATTTAAGCTGAACCGCGGTCCTAGCGCGTACTTGTTGTAATGTACTGGAAAGCCAGAATGCGCATCCATCAACAGAAACCTACTTTAGCCTGTTTGTTTTACATGTTATTTATAGCAAACCATATTACAGATGCGTTGTCAGATTTAAGTTGAACCGCGGTCCTAGCGCGTACCGAACCGTGTGTGGAGAACCGTATGGTTCGATTTTTTTCCGCGAACCACGGGGCGTCAGAGTCAACACCTCTCGTTTACTTTGAATGGAGTGACGTCAAGCATTGGCGAAATTAATTGTGTGTCCGTCGCGTTGGGTCCGTTGCTCGCGGCAGAAGTTGAAAACTTTTCAACTTTTCAAGCGCCAACGCAGGCGTCAGCCAATCAGATCACCTTATGCAAATACCCTAGCGCAGACACTAGCCAATCGCGTTCATGCAACACCAGAAGACTAATGTGATTGGCTGTTGTCACTATGACGGTCGTCAGCACCAAGCTTCAGAAACGCTCTCCGTCAAGTGTTAACGCTGACGCCCCGTGTGAATGGGGCGTAATATACACACAAACACACGTGTCCGTCACTGGGCAGGGCTTAGCAATATAGCTTGAAAGGGTCATTAAATGGAGTTGGAGAATCAAAATGTTTGTGATAATTACACATAGAAGAGATTACTCTACAATAAAAACAATTATCAAAACTAACTCCTCAGTTTAAAATATAAATTATCATTTTCTACCCTTCTGAAACACCTGGATTTGAAATCCAAATGCGTCATCGTCGTATGCAATGAGATGTGTTCTGTTGTTAGGTTAGTCTGTCGTCAAAGTTACATTAGGCTTTTTGGTGCAAAAAAATAACTTTTTGCAAATGTTATAAACAAACTTTGAGAAACATAATATAAAAATCTGAAACTGCATTTCATGACCATCATGACCTGTGATCGGTGTAATATGTCAGGGCTCATGTACAGACGTTCTTTGTCGCAAAGTGGTTTACTGCCATTTATGCATTAGTGAATCAAGCCAGTGACTAAACGAATAACTTCACACTGTTCATATTAGTAGTGTGAAAACCATGTTATCTATATCATGATACTTTTTATTGTGGGAAAAAAAGACAAGCACATATCAGGAAATATTATAAAACATTCTTTAAAAAAAAAAAAATAATAATTAACCCTTTTACAAAAACGTCTCAATATAGTTCAGCTTTCTGACAATATTTGAAATTTGAATATTTTAACCAATATTTGAAAACAGCAATTGTGCAGTTTTAAAACTAAGCTGTTCAATAATAAAAATAATACAAAAATAAACTGCATTTTGCAACTGCATTCAACATTCAACAGCTTAAAGCCAATCAGAACATTTTCAGACAGACTATGGTATAATCAAAAATATATTCTCTGAAAACAAGTCTCAAGACCTTGAGACAATATAGCTCATTTACATATTTAACGGGAAAACAAAAACACTTAGAAACACCAAGAATCCATTTTTAGCAAAGTATTCATTCATCCCAATATATAACATTTAGCTTCGGTCCTCTAATTTTACTTGACAAATGGCATCCCAAGAAATCGGATTTTTCTGTAACAGCGCCAGATTTTTCACCTTTAGTATCACTCTACTCGATCCTGCTTTGGCTTCTTTTAGAACCACTTTTATTGGCAAAAAGAAATAGCCTAACTGTAGTGTTTTTGAAATTCTGGTTCATACTACAAAACGTTGTATAAATATAGTACTAAAATGGATTTGTGGAAATGAATCACTTCTAAACTCTATTGCCATGATTGGTAATTGAGTTTAAACCAAAGGCATCACATCCTCAAAAATACTGAAAGACTTTAGGAGACTTTTTGAACAAATAAAAAGGGCATTCAAATCACTACAATGTCAATGCTGCTCAGGGTTATTATCTAAAAACATCTGAAATAAAGCTGCAATACAAATATTAGATGAAAAACTCAGCCCCACCTGCCACTAGATTATTGATAAAGTACCATCAAAAATGTGAAATGAAACCCCACTAACGCTTACCATGGAGCATAGAACTTGATGAAGGAGAGTCCTTTGGCAACAGTCTCATCAAAGTTGCTCTCAGTCAATACCAGAACATTAGACTGAGAGAAACAAAAAGAAAAAATAATTAGTGGCAGCACATTTTGTTCGCATTTTAACTTTTATATCATATTTCTTGTTAAAGGCACAATATGTAAGATTTTTGTATTAAAATATCCAAAAACCACTAGAACAGTTTTATATATTTTGCTGACTTGTGTACTTACATTATCCCAAACGCTTTAATATGCTATGCATTTTATTAGACAGGTGACGACCGCACAGAGTAGCATTATAACAGAAAGTTCAAATGTATCTAGTATGATAAAACAGCGCTGCTTACTTCCGCTGCTTTCCGGAAGGAGCGGAAGCGGGCGACTGTGGCATAATAAAAGCTCCGCTGCTTTCGAGCGGTGTCTCGCGCTCGTTCAGTGGCCTCGTTTTGCTTCGACAGCTTTCCTCCTCACTCTGCTTCATACTACGACGTTAATAAATCATTAGCTCATCCATGATCATGATTTCTGCCCGAGTCCCGTTGGATTGCATCGGCTGTGGGGATGAAGACCACAACTCCCATGATTCCACACTCAGTCACAGCGTCATCAAACTACAC